TTTCAAAGTATTATTTAACTGTTCCTTAACTCATAAATTTAAGGCCTCTCTCTCTCTCTCTCTCTCTCTCTCTCTCTCTCTCTCTCCCTNCTCTCTCTCTCTCTCTCTCTCTCTCTCTCTCTCTCTCTCTCTCTGTTTTACAAAAATTCTTGTTTCTAGAGATGAGTCGTTGGAAGAAAAGACCACTTTTTGCTGTGTTTGAAACATATTTGGAGAATAGGTTTATGTCATTGTCTGCAAAATAATCACTTTTAAGAGTAACGGATGACTTGTACTGAGAGGGGAACGGAAGGCAAAGGAGTAGTTAATGGCATACAATGATTGTGTGAGTGAAGAGAGAGAAGCTCTCATTGGGTCAGAAAAGTATTGTAAAACTATTCAAAAACAATATATATTTATCTTTTTAACACATTTTTCTAACCATTGAGTTAAATATACATTTTCCTTAAGACTATTCGTAATAATACATTTCGTATTTATACCATCAGCTAAAAAATACAGTCAACACTTACTATAGTGTACTCAATAAATAGTACAAATATTTATCCCAGAGAGAGAGAGAGAGAGAGAGAGAGAGAGAGAGAGAGAGCAAGAAAGTAAAAACATAAAGTAATTAACTAAATAGATATTTACATAAATTTCAAAACGTTTACACTCAAACGAGTAATTCATTATAAGGAGAATATACTGTAAGTTAAGTTATATTTACACCAAAATATATAATTTTAAAGTAAAATGAAAAATTATTTCAAGACATATATTTACTACACATTTTTTCGTTGGTAGTAATAATATGTTTTGCAAAACAAAAGCACATTTTGTTTGCTTTTGGACATCGATTAAACATTAGTAAAAATAATATAATTTACTCTCAGAGTCCGGATTTGGTAAAATATTCTGTATTACCAAATCTCCCCATAGTTTACATAATTTAATATATATTATATGTTTAATTTGGTTAATAATATATAATTCTTAAAACACATTTAGCTTTAAATTTCATTTGTTTTGACACAAGAATATATTATTCTAATGTAAATATATTTTTCTAAAAAATATAATCATTATTTCAAATGATGGCATAGAGAGTGAATGTATAGCAGTTATGAGGGATAAATCAATATAATAAATATTTTCTGTGTATAAAACATAGCCCTTATGTAGAGATATCGTTGAAATGTATTAAACATTGATTGAATATGGAGTGAGAGAGACCACGAAAGTCCTCATAAAATACAAATGTTACGAGAGAGAGAGAGAGAGAGAGAGAGAGAGAGAGAGAGAGAGGCCTTAAAGAGTATTTATGAGTTAAGGAACAGTTAAATAATATTTTGAAAACTTGATTTTTGTTTAAGTTACTCTGAATTAACTTTTAAAAATGCACTTAAAGTATTTACTATGTGTTTGAATTGAATTAGGATATATCGATAAGTTTTTATTCAATAATTATATTTATGTATAAATAATTTGTTGTTTAACTTAAACCTTTTCTCTCTCTCACTTCTCACCAAACAAAACATGTTTAAAACACATTGAATTCAAACTGGGATTTAGTTTAAAGTTTCATAACTAAAAGTTTCAAACAGCAAAAAATATAATACATTTAGTTTTATCTTAATTTATTTAGTTTTGTTATTCAGTATTGATTAGACATTAATTCAATTTAATAAAATTGCCACAAGTCTTGTATATCTACTAATGTAGTTATCAATTGGATTGTCAGCGAAATAATTGGCACAAAAATTATGATTTTATTTACTCTTTTAGATATTTATTATTTGTTTTGTTTTGCTGTCAAACGATAACTTATGTATATATCTTGAGGTGATGTTAAAAATTTCTATCATTAGATAAAATACTTTTAACACAAATACCACTGAAAACTATATAAATATTTTAAAATTTTAATCAAATCATAGTTTTTGTTTCCACGCATTCCTTCAAATCGTATTCAAAGTCTTTTGTTTAAAATTTATTTATAAAAAGTGTGAGAAAAATATTGTTTCGTTTAAATGTCTATTCAAACGAGTCTTTAAAAACTCAACTTATGTTAAACAAAAATAACAAATTATTAATCATTAATATTAATGACAATAAAAAGCATAAAAATAACAAATTACTGTATAAGTATTTTTTCTGATACTTGTCTTCTGTTGAACGCATACATAGATCTCAAGACACGAATTCAATGTTAATTTCAAACCCAGTTTTCAAATATTTAAACATAAATTAAATTTAGTTTTTTTCTGCTCACTGTTTGCTTCTCAAGACTACTGTTGAGAATGAAAATTATAGAAACAATAAAATTATAATTATTTTTTGCAAAACAAAAAACACTATTGTTTTATTCGCCGCAATATATATGACAACATTTATATACAAGAAATAGATATTTTGTGATAATATTACATAATTTATATACAAGTGTTTAAATTAAATGAATATAATCTTTAAAACTTATGGCTGAAAATTTAAGCAATAAATTCCGGTATTTTTTAAGTAATAGACATTATAGTGACTTAAAAAGTCAGATACAGTCAGTATATTGTGATTATAAGTGGCGTATAATTTGGTAAACGTTTTAATTATCAAAATGCTGTGAATTATATAAATTTAGGAGTTTTTGGAGGAATAAAATGATAAAATAAAATTAAAACAAATAATCGAAACAACAAATTAGGATTCATTACCAAAAAAGTCTCCTCAAACTGAGAGACATGTCTTTTAAGTCCTTTAAACAAATTATATTTCTCTTTAAATCCGCATTTTTTTTGCTAGACTTAGGGTTTTTATCGGAGATTATTATTAATAACACTTATAATATATTAGATGCAAAAAATGAGGTCTTTATTTTTGATGTGATTTCTACCTCAAAAAAATAAACTAAATGAAAAAAATAAATTGCGATAACACTGTTTGTAAATATGTATAAAAAGTGATTGAATTCACAGTCTCTCTCTGGGATAAATATTTGTACTATTTATTGAGTACACTATAGTAAGTGTTGACTGTATTTTTTAGCTGATGGTATAAATACGAAATGTATTTCTCTCTCTCTCTCTCTCTCTCTCTCTCTCTCTCATAACGAAAAATTTATGTAATATTTATATAATAAAATTTAAAGCAAAAGAAAAAACAAATTGCATTTCCATGGGTTGCACACCATATGAGACAACAAACGTGTTATAATATCCTATGGTTTGAGTGTCACCGGGATTTCAATCATATTTTTTGCTTCATTTCTCGTATAAAGTATTTTTCTACACAAATAAATGTGTTTTGTATTTGGCTTTAAGTCAAAACATTTTATATTCTTATTTATTTGTGAATGCATTGGCTATTAATTCTCATCAGAGATTAGTTTTCAAAAGCCATTTAATATATTATATATGAGTATTAAGAAAATAATTTAAAGTGTAAAATGGCTCTCTCTCTCTCTCTCTCTCTCTCTCTCTCTCTCTTTGATAATATATGTGATATAATGTCTAAGTGTTTGTAATGAAAAAATTTCTTATCAAATTGTCAATAGAGAAGAGGTTTGTGGTGAGAGAGTGTATGTCATCCCAAACACACACAACACTCGTCACACAAATTCACGTTTTATTACAAATTCACGTTTTGGGGCAACAATTTTGTGCTGCAATTTAATTGCCAGTCATATAATTTGACTATCATTTCAGACCCCAGTATTCACTATATCTGAAATTTCATCGCATTTTATTTCATATAAGTTATACCATTTAGTATAACATACAGTGCTATCGATATATAAAATTATCTATATATTAGTGATGCACTTATAGTATGTGAAGATTGGTTTTTGATTTGTGGACCGACAAACACAGCCTCCGGGGGTCACTACTCAGCCCCAGCGCTAATATTACCAATACTCTCTCTCTCTCTCTCTCTCTCTCTCTCTCTCTCTCTCTCAGCAATCATTTTTGTCATTTTATTTCTCTCTCACTCAATATAATGGAAGATTATATTTTGGCAAATCTTTATAATGTATTTCATTTTCTGGTGTAGTCTTTGAGTGATAGTAAGGAATGTTCGGTAATAATAAACAATTCAATTCCGGGGAACTCTCAGTGTTTAGACAGCGAATGAATACAACAATTGAATGCAATTATTGCCCGAAAATATGTTGTCATTTATTTCATTATGTAATTCACTGAATACTGGTATAGTTTAGGAGTAGATTCTGTACAATAAATAGCATTTTTGTTGTTAATCTCGTGTATAATTGAAAAGCCGGAGATTTTATTTTCATTTTAATGAAATGGCATTTCGTTTATTCATTCATCCATTGATTGAATAAATTCTTGATATTTTTTCTAATCATTTGTAGTGTTTTTTGTTTGGATTTTAATTTTAGGATTTTTTACAGTGCTATTAAATTTTGTTGTTTTGTATAAAACATGTGTTTTAATTATTATGTAAGCAAAAAATTTGGTCGAAATTTTATTATTTATGTAATTAGCACTCAAAACACAAATTGAATTTTAATTTCTGTTACTAATTTTGTCGTAACTTTTTTATATTTATTAATTTGATGTATCTCTGTGTGAAATGTGTGAATCTCTCTCTCTCTCAACTGCTTTTGAATTAATAATTAAAATACAATTTATAAACTATTCACGAAAATTTGTTTTTGTATATTTAAAATAATTATATTCATTGAATCGTTAAATTTAATTGCAACACAAATTTGTATTAAACGATTCAATAACAAAAACTCATTATAAAACCAAAAATAGTCTCATTTTAGAGTTGAACTAAATTTTTGTGTCAATTGAAAGACAGAAAGCAAATAAAATATTTATCAAAGAGAAGATGAAAAGACATGAAATGCGAAAAAAAACAAAATAAAATCGTATTATCAAAACGTTTTGATCATTAAATTTGTTATTATAATTATTAACAATATTACTATTAATACATACAATAATTACTGAATAGTGTATTAATAATTATCATCACATTTTCCCCTCTCATCTCCAGCCTCTCGGGAGACGGCATTCATGCACAGCATAACAGCCGCGGGTGTCGTCCACGCCATAGCCCGGGCGTGTAGAGACGGACAGCTATCCCACTGTGGCTGTAGTCGTGCGGCGAGACCTAAAAATTTACACCGAGGTATGTATGCCATTACATAACACACTTGTACTGTATTTTTACTATTATTACAGTATATACACACACTTATACATAATGTATACGTAATGAGTCCTCATCTTAACGATCAATTTATTATGATTTTTCACATTAAATACAAATTAGATTTTGTGTTACGAATAGTTTTTTTTGTATTTCGTTAATGAAATGTATTATACATTGAATTTTTTGTCAGAAGAGGTTTTTCAGTGTTTAGAGAAAAATAAATTGAAGGGAAAGATGTATTAATAGGAGGAGAAGTTTTGGGGCACAAGAATGAGAGCCATAAAAATCATCGCTCATCTCATTTGGTCGTCTCATCGCCGGTACTAATGAGATGTATATCTGATAATTGATTCAACACATACTCATAAACCATTAAATATTAATCCATACACTAGTCTTTTCTTTGTGTAAATTGGGTTTTTATCATCTCTCTCTCTCTCTCTCTCTCTCTCCCCCTCTCTCTCTTCTTTGTAGTGATTTTATGGCCTCTATTAATGAGAAATCCGTTTAGATTTTTTAAGAGCAATATTTATGTTATACTGTATAATCGTAAATCATTAATAAAATAGCATATTTTTATCAACCATTTCGGTCTAAACGTATCGTAAAAAACAGCAATTTTGTGCTTCAAATTCATTGTTCATTATTGTAACAAAAATACGGACCAGAAAAAAGCAAAAACTATTAAAACCATTATATCAATGCAAATGATAACATATTATATCGTAAACACAATGAGAGCATATATTTTCTCATTGAATTTGATGTAATTTATTAGATAAATATAACTCATCCGTTCTCTCTCTCTCTCTTCTCCACTGTATATCATCTACAATCTCATGGCTGTATGGCTGGCATTGGTATGTCATCACTGAAACACATCCATACGACACTCTCTCCCCATTGACTATACATAGAGTGGATTTGGGGCGGATGTGGAGACAATATCGACTACGGCTACAAATTTGCCAAAAGTTTTGTGGACGTGAAAGAAAGGGAGACCAACTATCAGAAGGCTTCCCGAGACCAGGGAAGGAAATTAATGAATCTTCACAACAACGAGGCCGGCCGTAGGGTAGTGTTGCCATTTCATTGTCTTATATTATCATCATTTTTATGTGTTTCACAAGTCGTTTCCCTTTAGGAAATAATTTTTCTCGTATATGTCTGTCATATCTATCATAAGATTATAATAGTTTCTCTCTGTTTCTCTCTCTCTTCCGAGAATTGCTAAGAAAATATTTTTAAATTATATGATTTATATCTCATTTTCAAAGCCTAATATGAAATGAGTTATGTTTTTGTTTTCTTATAACTTATTACATAAAAGAATAGCTCATAACAGAAAACAAATTCACAATTTATGCCAAAACTTATTATAATATACAGAGATTTCGGAGATTTTGAGCCCAATTTTTAGCAAATATCTAAACGATTTTAACCTTTTCTTTCTTTCTCCCTCTCAGTACTGAATCGTTAATAGATTATCATTTGATAGTAAGTCTATCATGAAATTAATATTTCATAAATATTTTTGTATATCCTTTACCTAAGAATATGTGGAAATGTTTGCAACAAACAGATCAAACACTTGATTATAATGTATAAATATAGAGTCGGTTTAAAAGCCATAGGTTTTACAACTTATTAATAAGAAATAGTTTAGTTGTAAGTGTTTTTGGGAATTTAGGTGAGAATTAATAGCCAGTAAATAGTGTATTGCAATTGTTTAGCGCAAGTTTTGTGAGATAAACCAATAAGCGCTAAAACTTTAACGAATAATCATAAACTAATAAATAATAGTCCAGAAAGTCATTGATATATCATTTGATTTATGAGACAAAAGAAATAAATTTATATCATTTTATGTGATCTCAATCTCCTCTTAACAATTTGCTTACTCTCTGGCTATGAGAGGGAGAGATAGAGAATAAATTATATCAAATATTCCACACATTATGACTGATAATAATGGCTAATATTTGATCAAAAACTAAATTTATGTAATCGTAAGTACACGACAAGTGGCGAAGAAAAGTTATAAAATCACATTCAGTATAATATAATAATTATTATTAATAATAAGTTATGGTTAGAGAGGGAGGGCTGGAAATATAGAGGGGGTAATCGGGAGGCTGTGAGAGAGGCACTGATGATGATTAGGAAAGGGCAGTGAGTTTTATTGGCACCGAAAAAATCTAAACTGATTTATAAAAATAAGAGTACAATTCGAGAACCATTTCGATAACAAATTGCTTGTCATTAACCGATAGAAATGTGTGTTCACTATAAGTACAGTCCATTCTTTAGAGAAATAGCTATTTTACAGAAAGCGAGAGAGAGAGAGAGAGAGAGAGAGAGAGAGAGAGAGAGAGAGCTGATACTATTGTCGGCCGCAAACATTACACTCATTTATATGGCCTTACAATTGGCTATTGTTTCGGTTGTGTTTCATCGGATTCTGTGCCCAATATCTGCCAAAAACGTCTGTATTTATGGCCAAAGAATTATATGAATAGAGATTAGCAATCGTTGTCCCGAACCCCGCGTTTAGCGCAACATTGAAAATAGTGAAAGCGCGGGGGTATTGGTGTTGTGCCGCTCTTTTATGAGCTATATTTTTAGGCATACCCTCCCTATGAGAGAGTGAATGAGAGAGAGAGAGAGAGAGAGAGAGAGAGAGAGAGTCGCTATGAATTGAAAGTAATATTTTTCTCAACGAAAAGTGTTGTGGAAATATATTTTCGCTATTTTATCAAGTTTTAAATTTCACAATTTGTATCAAAACCATTTTCTTAGACAAAAAAAGGATTTACTTTTTTCAGGGGCAAAAATACTGTGAAAAATACGTTAACAAATACACAAATTCTCCAAACACTGAATCAATATAATGGACATACAATTAACTAACATTTAGATATGGAGTGCATATGAAATGTTAAAATTATGATATGTTTTGGCGTTTAAAATGTAATGTATTATTCGTATGGTATTCTATTTCTAACACGTTTTCCCTTACATTAGGATTAAAGCGTCAATTTTTATTACCGGGGCTTAAGGTGAGAGAGAGAGAGAGAAAGAGAGAGAGAGAGAGAGAGAGAGAGAGAGTAAAAATGGTATTTCCAAAGGATATGTATGACTTATATTTGAGTTTGAAGTGTATTGTAGTCTCAAATGTGAGGAAAGGGAGAACAATAGAAAGGGCTCTCATAAAAGCCATTATTAGGCCTCTCGTGTTCGCCTAAACTATGGGCACTCATACACACCGATAGTCTCNCAAGTCGTTTCTCTTTAGGAAATAATTTTTCTCGTATATGTCTGTCATATCTATCATAAGATTATAATAGTTTCTCTCTGTTTCTCTCTCTCTTCCGAGAATTGCTAAGAAAATATTTTTAAATTATATGATTTATATCTCATTTTCAAAGCCTAATATGAAATGAGTTATGTTTTTGTTTTCTTATAACTTATTACATAAAAGAATAGCTCATAACAGAAAACAAATTCACAATTTATGCCAAAACTTATTATAATATACAGAGATTTTGGAGATTTTGAACCCAATTTTTAGCAAATATCTAAACGATTGTAACCTTTTCTTTCTCCCTCTCAGTACTGAATCGTTAATAGATTATCATTTGATAGTATAGTAAGTCTATCATGAAATTAATATTTCATAAATATTTTTATATATCCTTTACCTAAGAATATGTGGATATGTTTGTAACAAACAGATCAAACACTTGATTATAATGTATAAATATAGAGTCGGTTTTAAATCCATAGGTTTTACAACTTATTAATAAGAAATAGTTTAGTTGTAAGTGTTTTTGGGAATTTAGGTGAGAATTAATAGCCAGTAAATAGTGTATTGCAATTGTTTAGCGCAAGTTTTGCGAGATAAACCAATAAGCGCTAAAACTTTAACGAATAATCATAAACTAATAAATAATAGTCCAGAAAGTCATTGATATATCATTTGATTTATGAGACAAAAGAAATAAATTTATATCATTTTATGCGATCTCAATCTCCTCTTAACAATTTGCTTACTCTCTGGCTATGAGAGGGAGAGATAGGGAATAAATTATATCAAATATTCCACACATTATGACTGATAATAATGGCTAATATTTGATCAAAAACTAAATTTATGTAATCGTAAGTACACGACAAGTGGCGAAGAAAAGTTACGAAATCACATTCAGTATAATATAATAATTATTATTAATAATAAGTTATGGTTAGAGAGGGAGGGCTGGAAATATAGAGGGGGTAATCGGGAGGCTGTGAGAGAGACACTGATGATGATTAGGAAAGGGCAGTGAGTTTTATTGGCACCGAAAAAATCTAAACTAATTTATAAAAATAAGAGTACAATTCGAGAACCATTTCGATAACAAATTGCTTGTCATTAACCGATAGAAATGTGTGTTCACTATAAGTACAGTCCATTCTTTAGAGAAAAAGCTATTTTACAGAAAGCGAGAGAGAGAGAGAGAGAGAGAGAGAGAGAGAGAGCTGATACTATTGTCGGCCGCAAACATTACACTCATTTATATGGCCTTACAGTTGGCTATTGTTTCGGTTGTGTTTCATCGGATTCTGTGCCCGATATCTGCCAAAAACGTCTGTATTTATGGCCAAAGAATTATATGAATAGAGATTAGCAATCGTTGTCCCGAACCCCGCGTTTAGCGCAACATTGAAAATAGTGAAAGCGCAGGGGTATTGGTGTTGTGCCGCTCTTTTATGAGCTATATTTTTAGGCATACCCTCCCTATGAGTGAGTGAGTGAGTGAGTGAGTGAGAGAGAGAGAGAGAGAGAGAGAGAGAGAGAGAGTAAAAATGGTATTTCCAAAGGATATGTATGACTTATATTTGAGTTTGAAGTGTATTGTAGTCTCAAATGTGAGGAAAGGGAGAACAATGGAAAGGGCTCTCATAAAAGCCATTATTAGGCCTCTCGTGTTCGCCTAAACTATGGGCACTCATACACACCGATAGTCTCTATTCACCATCACATCCAAGCAATTGTATATCTGGTGTGTGTTATACAGTGTATGGTGTGAGCGCTTGACGACCAGAAATACTGAAAAGAGACCCAAAAATCACTCATTGATTGCAATAATGATCAACCAATACATCTTTAGACACATGCATAGCGTATATAATAAACAGTTGTGTAGTTCAATATAATTTACTATCAATAGTCTCTCATATTCAGCTCATATATCATATTTGGGAAACACATCATAAGAATTACGAGATTTCAAAAGACTTGAACATAACTTATTACATGTGTTGAGAATTAGTTGAGACCAAAACCAAAAATTCCTTTTTATACCCAATGATAAAGAGATGTGAGAGAATGGCACACATTATAACTTATGCATCTCTCTCTCTCTCTCTCTCTCTCTCTCCCTCCCTCTCTTACCTTAAGCCCTGGTAATAAAAATTGACGCTTTAATCCTAATGTAAGGGAAAACGTGTCAGAAATAGAATATCAAACGAATAATGCATTACATTTTAAACGCCAAAACATATCATAATTTTAACATTTCATATGCACTCCATATCTAAATGTAGTTAATTGTAGTCAATTGTATGTCCATTATATTGATTCAGTGTTTAGAGAATTTGTTAACATTTTGCACAGTATTTTTGCCCCTGAAAAAATTAAATCCTTTTTTTGTCTAAGAAAATGGTTTTGATACAAATTGTGAAATTTAAAACTTGATAAAATAGCGAAAATATATTTCCACAACACTTTTCGTTGAGAAAAATATTACTTTCAATTCATAGCGAGTCTTAAATTCTTGCGTTGAAATTGAAATATGAGTTTAAGAGCGAAACGAAATATTTTTATATTAAACACTAATCTCTTGAAAATATGTGTGTTTCACATGTACTGCATATATCGCTCGGGTCTAAGAGTGTTAATACCTGAGCCAATCAGTCGGGTATTAGTGGTTGTATTTATAATATATTTCGGTGAGAGTTTAGCTCAAGAATTTTTATTACACTCTCTCTCACATACAGTGTGCCCTCGATATAGTGCACTGGAAATATAGTGTACACTATATATCATATTTATTACAACATATGTACAGTATATTATGTCATACAGAATATTGATTGCGT